GGACCCAGCAGCTTAAACTCACACCAGGTGTGTGTGTATGCATGGCCAAAATCCTGAAAGGAGAATAGAGGAGAAGGGATTGCAGCATGGCCAGCCTGAGGGGTGATTTCTCACTTTCTGCCTTTCTGTCTCTGTCTCTCCAGTGAGCGCACGTGCCCTATAGCAAAAATCTCTCTTAAAAAAAATTTAAAAAAAGAAAGAAAGAAAATAGCAGGGATGAGATGATATCTCATTGTGGTTTTATCTTTGTTCTTTTAACTGCCAGAGGGGCTGTGTGCTTACCAGAAAGAGACACAGAGAGAGGGAGAAGGCTCCCAATGAGATGTGGTCACACTGCAATCCCTTCTTGTCCATTTCTCCATTCTGTCAGGATGTGGGGTATGCACGCATATGCCCAGCATGTGTTTTAAGTTCAAGGACCAGGATTGAAACTGTAGTTGGCCGTGTGGGACCCGGCTTCCGTAACCACTAGGTAGGAGCTGGCCCCTCATTGTGGTTTTGATTTGCATTTCCCTGATGACTAGTGATGTTGGGCAGTTTTCCATATGCTTGTTGGCCATTTGTGTGTCTTTTGAGAAATGTTTAGTTAGATCTTTTGCCCATTTTTCTTTTTTTCTTTTTCTTTCTTTTTCTTTTTTTTTTTGCTATAGGGCGCGTGCGTTTGCCAGACAGACAGAGAGACAGAAAGCGAGACATCACCCCCCTGCCCCAAGGGGGATGGCCATGCCACAATCCCCTCTCCTCCATTCTTCTCTCGGGATCTTGGGCACACAGGCACACGCGCCTGGTGTGAGTTTCAGCCACCGGGTCTGGGACTCAAACTGTGGTCGACTACGTGGGAGTCCAACAATATAGCCATTACGCTAACTGCTGGTCCCATCTTTTGCCCATTTTTAAACCTGACTTTCTTTTTAAGTTTTACGATAGGGCATGTGCACTTTGCCAGAGAGACACACAGAGAGAGAGGCAAAGTGAGAAATCACCTTCGGGGGGATGGCCATGTCACAGTCCCTTCTCTTTCATTCTCCTCTGGGGATTTTAGGCATAGACACATGCATCCGGCATGTCTTTCAAGCCACTGGGTCCAGGACGAGAAATACGAGGTCAGCCATGTGGATTTAGCCACCCAACCACTATGTCACCTGGCTGGTTCTAAATCTGATTTTTAAATTTTTTCCTTTTTAATTGCTGAGTTGTCATTTCTTGTATATTCTGATTATCAATCTCTTGTCAGATGTAGTTTGGAAATATTTGCTTTCATTCTACAGATTGTCTCTTCACTGTTGATAGTTTCTTTTGCGTTGTAGAAGCTTTTTAGTTTGCTTTATTTGCTTTTGTTGACTATTATCAAAAAGGCAAAATAATAATACATACAATTGAAACCAGCAGATGGTATAATGGTTACATCACTGGACTCCCACATGGCCAACCGTGGCTCAAGTCCTGGACTTGGCAGCTTGAAACTCATACCAGGCGTGTGTCTGTGTGTGTGTGTGTGTGTGTGTGTGTGTGTGCCCAAAAACCCAAGAGGAGCATAGAGGAGAAGGGATTGTGGCATGGCCTTCCCCCCGCCCCGGGTGGGGGCTTCTGTCTCAGCACATGTGACCAATAGCAAAAAAAAAAAAAAAAACCTAAAAAAAACTTACATGCTACTGAGGTGGTAGAGAGAGGTGTACTCTTTTATACTGTTACCAGGACTGTAAATTACTACAACCATCATGGATAACAGTATGGAGGTTCCTCAAAAAATTAAAAATAGGGCCACCCCCATAGCACAGAGCTAAATGCTGAGCATGTGGGATATAGATCTACCCATTTCTGTGCAGGAGTGCTATGCGCATAGCCAACAGTGGTTCAAATCCCAACTACAGCAGCTCGAGGAACACTCCAGGCACATGCACACACATATCCCAAATCCTGGCAGGATGAGGAATTCAGAAAAAGGGACGGCAGCACGACCATTCCCCACGGGAGGTTCTCTTTCTTTCTCTCTCTCTCTCTGGTGAACAGATGTATCTTCTGTGAATAAAAAACAAAATGTGTGTGTGTGTGCGTATGTGTGTGTGTGTGTACACATATATATGTAAAGAAAGCCCATTATTATTTACATTTATTTACATTATTACCCAAAGAAACAGTCCTAATCCATTCGACAACAAAAAATGCCATGGTCTATGAGGCCTAAACAACAAACATTATTTCTCACAAGTCTGCAGACTGGAGAGTTCAAGATTAAAGTTCTGACTGATTCAGTGTCAGTGAGGGCCTTCTTCCCTGTTCACACACTACCATCTTCTTGATGTGCCATCATATGGCAGAAAGACCAAGGGAGATCCTGAGGGTCTCTTCTATAGGGCCTGATTCCCATTCATGAAGGTTCAAGTCTCATGATCTAATCATTTCCCGAAAGCCCCACCTCCTAATGCAGTTGAGTGACTGCACACTTCTCCCCTGCCCACAATGTTACCCAAGCCTCCCCTGCATCAGGATTATAGCTTGGAGATAAAGACAAAGATGGGAGAACCACTGAAATAGAAGTTGACATTGTCTTGAGAAATGATCCGAAACAAACTTTTTCGACCAGATGAGATTATGTCATCTTAACATGCAAAATGAAGTGTTTTCTGATACTGAGAAGAAATGGGGCTTCATATGCAACTTGAGTTTGATTTTCGGAAAATGGAGTAGTCACATTTCTTCTCACTCCGGATGTGACTGTATTTCGGCCTTCTACAGAGGTAAAAGTGGTACTGATGTGAGAGAGCATTCA